CGGCGCGAACCCCCGCGCGGGCGCCCTCGCCCTTCACGGCGGCGAACCCCCGCAGCCGCCTCCCGGCCCCCCGCGTCGGCCCCCAGCCCTCCTTACCTTTCTGGAAGCCCCGGTGCGCTCTCGCAGCGCCTTGAGCCGCTCCCTCCGCCGCAGCGCCTCCTCCTGCAACTCTCCAGGCGCGGCCGCCATCTTCAGGCGCACTGCGCAGGCGCGTCGAGGGGGAGTCTGCCCGAGAAGCAGGCCTTGCCGAACGACAGCGGAGCCACCGATCAGCGACGCAAGGGCTGGCCAGCCGAGCTCCGAGCACCTCGCTCGACGAGTTGTCAAAGTTGCGGGAGGAGGAAAACAATGTTGGTTGGGGGAAAAAAGTTTCTTTCTGTGCGGAGGAGGGCAAAGGCAACAGGGCATGCAGAGTGGGCCATCGAGATACTAAATCATTCTTTGAGCATCGAACTAGATTCCTCGGACCATATGCAGAGTGCAGGAAGCCCCTATAATTGTTGATGGAGGAGGGCAGGCTGAGGAACAGAGACTGAGACTCTTAACTCAGTGTTTTTCAAACCCATGCTGGCTGGGGAATTCTGGGAGTTGAAGTCCACACGTCTTAAAGTTTCCAAGTTTGAAAAACACTGCTGTAACTGACTTGGCTTCTGCTATTCCCAGTTCATCTAGTCCCTACAACAGCCCTGTGAGGTTGGCCTTGGAGCCTCCCCAGAGGGCTCCCAATCTGAGTGAACCAGGCACTGAGCAAGAGTCTGCCTTTGTGGGACTGTTAACTCAGATCTGGTTTGCTGGTTTAGGCTTCAAAGCCAGTGCAGGGGATTCACTGGTGGGTCAGCCTGTCATGGGAACATCCAAAAGGGGGGCTGAGAAACTTTGGGGGGACCCCTTCACCCAACCGCAGCCAACCGCGTGCATTGGCAAACCGACCGATTAACAGGTGGAGTCTTTGGATCTGATTTTGCTTTGCTGCTTTCAAGAAAAAGCGGGCATAACCAGTCACAACCGTATTCAACGATTCTAGATATTTTCCCATTTCCAATGGTTTCTCTGTTCAGGTGCCTTGATTCCCCTTTTGTACAGAGGCAGATATAATGTGAATAATTAACAAAGGCACCATCGCACTTTTGTCACATTAACATTTTAATTCATCCTCTCCTCTTCTCCCCCTTCATGGATCACTGCCTTGTCGTGGCGAAGGGGCTTGCATAACTCAGTGAAGCCA